GTAAATAATCAGGAGAAAGAAGGCATGGCGCAAAGAGAGTAAATCGTTGGTGACAGCCATCAACAGCCCTAATCAGATTCATAGTGAATCGTTTCTCGCGAGAAGGAAGGCTTTTCACGAGTAACTTGCTAATCGAAAACGATAGGGCGGCGTGGAAGCCGGCCGATCGATAAGATTCAATGCCTATGCGAGCGATTCCGTCGTTACGATAAGGAGCCGACTATAAACAAGCGCCCAAAGAAGTGTGGCAACAAGCACAGTCGGAAAGAAACATGAGCAGTAAAAACACTGTGACATACTAGCGTTTGCAGCACAGCGATGTTCGACAAAACAGTCATGTCTTCTGGAGTACGCCATGAATTTGACTAGCTCCTATAAGTGTCATGCTGTGTAAATACGTAGTTCACTTCAAAGAGGCCCATCAGTAACCCTGTGAATGCTCACCTTCTAACCCTCTGTGTTCCAACCAACTCGAGATCTACTGGATACGCGCACCCGGATTATCGAAGCGCTTTAGTAGCTTGCACATGTTTGGATCTCTGCATTCGGGCGCAAAACCTTCACCAGTGCAACTCTGCCCTTGTAAGTGATTCCGCAATCAGGCGGATAAGGTTTTTTGTTTCGCAAGCAAAGACAAGGATTCATATCCATAAATGGCAAAGGGTCATCTAATAGTATGCTAAGTTTGCACTTGCTAATAAGTTCGAACCATTAAATGAGTTCAGAATTTTGCGGCAAGTTCGAATTTTATGGGGGCTGGTAGAGTGCTTGATAAGGGCGTGATTAGAGATAAGAGTCATCATTAGTAACGGAAACAAGAGCGTTTTACACGTCAATTGAGCTGCATGTTGCCAGGCAACGTTTCAACATATTAGGATAACTCTAAGAATAGGTTTCAGATTTTTTTACTGACGCAGATGAGCCAAACACAAATATCTTGGAAACTAGAAGATATCAAAGCATCTTTCCAAAGACGTTGAAGAACGTCCACTTCCATTGTAAATTCTGCTTTTTTAGTTTGTTTTGCAAAAACTAATGAGTGGAACTAAAATATTAGTTCGATTTTGTTAATTCTCTACATTCAAATACAAGTAAATTAAAAAAATAACTTGAGGAAATAAAGTCATCGTTGAATTTCAACGTTTGAATCTGCTTGATGCAAGTTTACAAAAATAAATACCAAATACAAAATTATACAAAATAAAGTTAGAAACTTAGGATAGTACAAATCATTCTAGGTGCATGACAAAAGAAGCAATACGAGGATCTATCAGAAAAAGCAATTCGATAAATAAAAACAAACTCCTAGCCAACTACAGGGGGGGGGGGGGAGGGGGGGGAAAAAGGAAAAGACCCTTCCCTCTACATTCGAACCTGATTTTAAACACGCTGCGGAGCAAACCAAAAGAAGCTCAACCGAATATGAAAGAGCACGTTCTAGTCTATCAAAAAGGTTACATAACAGCCTTTACACACCGACGACATCAGAAGATTTTCCCACGGAAACATGGTTCACGGTACGAGCTCAACGAGGTCGTCGAGGTACCATAGACCATTACGACGTCCCTGAAACGCTGGTCAAAAGCGGTCTTGCACAGTCACAGCTAGTGTCTCTTAGAAGCTATTCACCAGTTAATCGGTTGAAGAAATTAGGTTGTATAACACGTAGCAGCTTCAGGCCGGTGCGATTTGCAATTAAAACCTCGTGAGCTCGACCGAGGGCAGATGACGTCGTGTTCTGACAGAGGTGGGAAGCAGTGAAGGAGGCCTGCTATTGCTTTTGGGGGAAGATGCTGCAAGGAGTGTTATTTCTGCGTTAATAACATTCAACAACAACAGCATCCTGTATGCACACGGTCAAATTTGATGACTGCTGACCGCCAATGAGGCAAATGACTTTTTTGCCCCCCCCCCCGGGATAGGTGGCCTACGCTCTAAAAGTATTAAAATTTGTTCCTCTTCTTCTTCGGTTCTCGCATTTTTTCAAAAAGGCGTTTTCTGAACATTTAATCCTTGAGTTTTTTGATTACAATCTTTCCTATTCGATAGAGGCATAGAAAGATTGTTGTACAACAGGTGGGGAACCGAGCCTCGAGAAAAACATCGCGGGGTTTCAGCAAGCTGTTTGCTGAATGGGGAATTTGAAGACAATGCCCAGTACGAAAAAAATGAAGACTTGATAAACAGTGGAAATGAATGGGCGAGCAGAGTATCCATGAACTGGTATATCATGTATAGGTGAAAATGCCCTGAAGGTATTCTAGAGAGAAAAAAAGCAGTAAGGAAACCTTGGCCAAATATGGAAAAATAGGTCTATGATCACAAATAACTTCACTAATCTTTTTATCGATTTGTTAGCGAGTATGTGAAAGGAGGAAAAAGTTAGCATAATAAGGGCAGATAGAAGACAGCGGACGCAGAGAGGAATTGAGCTTTCTCAAGATTTGATCTGCTGTTGAACGTGTGTTTCCGGGCTGAGCGCGATAGCTTTGAACGGGAAGCGATCAAAGAGGAACGAATCTGGCTGAAATCTAGACGCCGATATCTACAACCATGCGGCTAGTCAACGAGACTATTAATTGCCTAGACACTTCAGGAACATCAGCGATAGCACTATGCTATTTAATTTAGCATGCGACAATCATCAGACTAAAGGTGGCCAATAAATTCACTTCTGGTAAGGATGGCAAGGCTAGGTATGGAATCCAGTCACTCACTGCTGGTGGGTGAAGTTAGCCTTGAAGGAAGATTTCAGACGCTATCGCAATATACGGGTGCATTGTGGTAGCAATGCATTCGAAACTGCGTAAATAATGTCCTTCTCGTTGAAAACCAACTAAGCCTTAGGCGAGGGAGGAGAGACTCCAGAGTGCGTGAGCCAGTTTTATTCTCTTGCACCCTCGCCCCCCCCCCCTCCCTCACGCAGGCTTAGTCTTAGAGGATGCCTTCGTTTATTGCCATAGCGCCAATTTCACAAGTCAAGGAAGTAAAAATGTGCCTACTAGAAATGGAGGCAGGCCCCATAAGGAAGGGGGACGATGCGCAATTCTCTGCAAGCGGTGGTCCCGTAGAGGTTTGAGAGGACCTTTACCTGCAACGCTCGCGGCTGTTTACACCCACCGAATTTCTGTGAAGTAGCGGGAGCGTGTTGGATGTTTGCCATCGTTTGCTTTTAATAAAAAAACATTTTGAGCGCCTATTCGTCATTCAGCTATTCTAAGTTATGCGTTACCAATGGAAGAACGATATTTTTAGCGTGGTACCGGCTATCGGGTTCAACACTTGCAAACGAGCTTACCCTGGTCGCGGCTTGTCCTAAGTGAACACTGACGAGCAAAAATGGTCCGAGGATCGAGAAGAAAACGTAGGGTCGTTTGGCTTCTTTTTGCCTTTGCTGTAGGCCAAGACTGAAAAATATGTAGAATTCTCTGCTCTATCGTTCTAAACATTGATCGTCCGCAGTAAACATATCGCTGCGAATTCTTAAAAAATGTAGGGAATCGAATTTCAAATCTCTTTATTCACCTCTCGATGACGCCATCTGAAGAGTGATAATACCAAAGAGATATGAGTCGGATCGTAGAGATCCAAGACTGAATGAATTCTCCCCACACTGCGTTCACGCATGTGCATGGCCGCTTTCCTAAGAAGCAACATGTGGGCGGAGTTATCTGGTGGGCAGAGCTCCCACATTGTGGTTGAGACACTTTCCCATATGGAGCGTGCACCCACAGGCGGATTCGCACTAATGTTCTATGGCCAATTGGTCGCAACGAATGACTCAAAATCCTATCGGGGGAGTTGCGGCAACGATTCCTGTATTCATCTAGCTCCCACGAAAGATGAATGCCTAGCTATAGCTAGTGGACTCGCACCTTTTGCTGACCTTTCCATCGGCTCTAGGCCGAGGGACTAGGTCATCCGAATCCACCCACAGAGTCAGTCTAGCGGTGTTCTCAGCAAAACCCTTCCATTATCTAGCATTCTGAGGTATTGAGTCGACTGTAGCGAATTATGTGTTTCTGCACTGTGCACGCATGCTTCCTAAGTTTCTTCTACCGTCCTACATGAGGTACGTATGATAATGCCTGGAGGTTGAAATTATTCTGGCAAGGGGTAGGTCGCACTGATCTGTGCACTTTTCGCAGGCTTGACGATGAGAGAAGCCAAACTTAAGCCAAGCAAGCCTATATCGCTGCTTGCTTTTGGCGCTTCAGAAGCAAACCTTAAAGACACATATACGACAATGTACTCGCTGGGCTACACAGTTCTTCAAAACACGGAGCACGAAACAAGGAGATAGGCGGCCGCAGCGGTCTGCCCTGCTGGTAATGGTGCTCCCTCCGAAGCCTTGATCTGAGAGTTTTTCTCTGTTCGCGTACTGAAACTCACTCTCATACCACAACTGAACTGCGCAAAGGAACTTGGGCCCTCAGTTTTAGTGCGTGCGGAAGCCTCTTAATCTTTAGTCTCAAGCCGATTCTCACTTCCACACAGTCTACTTTTACAGCCTCAGCTGAGTATATGATACGGACGCACACACATTTCCATACTCGAATCCTCTATCTGAGCGTCCTCTTTTGATGCTTGCTCACATAGTCTCGTTTGTCAAACGAATCGCCTCCGAGAAAGTCGGCCAAATTCATGAATAAACCATTTGAATATTGATACGGTTGCCATCGAAAAGGAAAGAATCATTCAGCTCTTTCTTATTTTTGCATTCCGTGCTGTATTGTAGTGTTCTTATTTCAATTATTCAATAAATTTATTTCCTCTTTTTTTTTTAACTTTTCAGTGTTTATAATCAGTGAAAAGGAACATAATGGCAGCAGATAATTCACATATGAGAAGTACATGAAAGAAATTCAGGGCTATGACGAAAATGTGCATTTCGGCAAGGCGTTCGCAGCATGGGCAGCAGCAGCACGAAAACGGCGATGGCCACGACACCAGCCGACAGAAGCCGTGCCACGAGCGCAGAGCATGGCCGCTGTGACTGGTCAGACCCTTCCACTTCCGTCACGTCGATCTCGACGTCCCAAAAGTTGCCACACGTGTTCCGGGATCATGAAATACCTGGAAATTCAAACAGTGTTCGAATATTACTCCAGAATTCTCATAATTACTCTGCTATACATTTTCAGAATGGCTTATTGCCCTGTGTTGGCTATGATCCGTGTGCTCGTGCGATCTATATATCGTAGTTGTGCACCGACCTCTACGCTGGAGAGCATAAGATGAACGGAGGCGAATTCGCGTCATGCGTATATACGTTCATTATTCAATGCCACGGCAACTCAAATTATACGAGTCAATCATATCGTTGAAACTGTATCTCATAGCCTGCCGACACAGTGGTCAAAACCAGAGTATCGCGTTGGCCGATTCGAATAATTAAGGCCCCCTCCCCCTTCGTCTGTCTTCGCCATCATGGGCAGATATTCGATAGTATTCGAATCTCCTGATCTGAGCATATCTGCCGAGTATCATTGCGAGCAGCCGAAACTCCGCCCACTTATTCCTCGCACAGAATCAGCGCCAGCGCGGGTATACCTACCACGAAACCGCAAACTCTCACTTCCCCCTATTTCACCAACATTTCCTAGAGGGGGCTTAAATTTTAGCGCGCCAACCAACTGCATCATCACTTCCCTTACTGTAACATTAACGCTACCTCGCGAAATACGAGCCCCCTTTTCCACCCCAAATACGACCAGAGAGGTCTCAGAGTGCGTGAGCAATTTTTGCTTTCCCCGAAGTTCCTAGGCTTAGCCTTAGAATGTCCCCGTATCTTGCGATAGTGCCCATTTTTATTGATGATTAGCTTCTTTTCACAGTTTTTTCCATCGTCCACTATGTGGTTATGGTGCCGTGTCCTCATAGCTGGCCACTATTCTGCGCTTCCCTCGTTATCGTCATATTTTCGTACTCAGTCATGAAATTTTCGGTAACCTAATAACTAATCATTTAAATATATAACTTTGTATTACAGCACATTGTGCTAAAGTGTTTGTCAGAAGAATTTAAGTGCAATAGTTCGTGCCAACTATAGTAAGCCCAGACCTCATTTTTTGAAGAGAAAAAGCTCCGCAGCGGCTGGGCCCGTCCACTTGTACAAAAGGGAACGATATAAGTTTGCTTCTTCCAAACATTTATAATAAAAGAAAATGTTTGCTCAGTTTTTGAAAAGAGAATGTTTGCTCAGTTTTTGAATGCCTTGGCTCACTGCGGTCTTCCAGGTCACCAAAATGCCCCATCCCGCTCCATTTGGGAGTTTCGTTCAGTACACAAAAAGAACCAATATCATGCATGAGTAGAGTTGATCAATTTGAAGGTCAAAATATTCGCACTTACTTCAGGAGAATGTACAAAGTCACGGTGAATACGGCGGCCAATTCGATGTATGCATGTGGAGGCCACAGCCGATACATTTTTGGCAGCCGATCCGGATCCTTTTGGAAGAACAGCCATTCTGCTAAAGGAGTAGCTTGAAATGCCTGAAAATGGCGTGATTACTGCAACATTTCGAGACGGTGAGTCGTTTTGAGTTCCAGTCAGTTATGGCGCAAGAGTGAGGACCCCCTATAGGCCGGTGACGGTTGAACTTTGTGGCAATATCAAATTGCTTGGATAGAGCCGTTAGGCCATAAGAGAATTGAAAACTACCGCGATCGTGGACAAGGAAAAGTGGAACGTCCGATAGGGGCAAAAGGTCATTGCATAGAGAGGGACTATTCCAGTCGCAGTCAGGATCAACCGTCCGTTCGAACTGTTCGAACGAGGGG